AACTCAGACTTTACGTGGCCTGTCAAGAGATGGTCGAACTGTAATTGCTTCAGTCCATCAGCCCAGTAGTGAAGTCTTTGAGCTATTTGATCAGTTATATTTGCTTTCTGGGGGCAAAACTGTTTATTTTGGTCAGGCTTCTGAAGCATACGAGGTAAGAGTTCTCAGCCTTTCCTTTCACTTGACATGATTTGGAAATTCAATTATATAATGTTTCTTGGATTGCGGATGCAGTTCTTTGCGCATGCTGGATTTCCATGCCCTGCCTTAAGAAATCCATCTGATCATTTTCTTAGATGTATCAATTCTGACTTTGATAAGGTTAAGGCTACTCTAAAAGGATCAATGAAATTACGGGTATCAAATTCGTTTCCCTTTGTTTAATATTCCTTCCAAATTCGGAAAACTACATATGACTGAAAAACAAATATAGTTTTTTTTTTTTTTTTTAAATTTGGAATCCTATTGGAATCCTACTTTTACTACAAGTGCCTTTTATGGAATGTCTTATTTCTGTTGCAAATTGCTTTATAAACAGTTTGAGGCAAGTGATGATCCCTTGGAGAAGATAACCACAGCTGAGGCGATCCGAACTCTTATCGACTTCTACCGTACATCTCAGCAATGTTATGCCGCCAAGGAAAAGGTTGATGAGATATCCAAAGTTGTAAGTGCATGACCAGCCAACCCGGTGCTATAAAAACATATATATATATATATATATATATCAACCTTATTTGTGCTCATGCCACTGTTAACAATTAATTAATCTTCTTGTTAAAGACTAATATCTATTATATTTGAATTGGATTCAGTTGACCGTTACCACCAAGAGTGGCAGTTGATTTTTTTCCATTTATTGCAGAAAGGAACTGTGCTAGATTCTGGAGGCAGTCAAGCTAGTTTCTTGATGCAGTCGTATACTTTAACCAAACGTTCATTCATCAACATGTCTAGAGACTTTGGCTATTATTGGCTCAGGTTGCTAATATATGTTGTAGTCACTATTTGCATTGGAACCATTTATCTCAATGTTGGAACAAGCTACAACTCAATTCTGGTATTGTTGCTACATATCTTTTAGAACTTTGTTGAATCACATTTTTGGACTCCTAAGTGCGCATAGAACAAAAGAACTTTAAGATACAACGGAAAAAATTGCTAGTTCACAAATTATGTCAACATTATAATTATATGACACAATATGGAGAAAATTTATATTTATTTTTCTGTAGTAAAACTTTGGAAAAGTTATTTAAGATTCTAAGTCTTTTGGAACAGGCAAGGGGATCATGTGCATCTTTTGTGTTTGGTTTTGTCACATTCATGTCAATTGGTGGGTTCCCATCCTTTGTTGAGGACATGAAGGTAAGTTATTACCATGAATAGCAGGTTAACAAACAAACTTACCAGCCATGGCAGCTCCAACATTTTGACCAGCTGAATTTTGCAGGTTTTCCAAAGGGAAAGGTTAAATGGCCACTACGGTGTAACAGCATTTGTTATTGGGAATACGCTCTCAGCTATGCCATTCCTCATTATGATCACCTTCATCTCTGGAACTATTTGTTACTTTATGGTTCGTCTTCACCCGGGCTTTGAACATTATTTATTCTTTGTACTGTGCCTTTACGCAAGTGTTACTGTGGTTGAGAGCTTGATGATGGCCATAGCCAGTATCGTCCCCAATTTCCTTATGGGTATCATCATAGGAGCAGGGATTCAGGTTGCTTTCTCTTCAACTATGTTCTGCATTATTCTTGTAGTATTCACTAAGCTTTTTTTTTTTTTTTTGAGGCAAGTATTCGCCAACTTTTAATAGAATTACAAAGATTTAAGCTATGCTTACACCCTCTGACACCAAGAACTCCAAGGATATATATTCACCCTAGTTCCATTTTGATGACTGATAAGTTGTCTTCCTTCCAGGGAATATTCATGCTTGTTTCTGGGTACTTCAGGCTGCCAAATGACATCCCAAAACCTGTTTGGCGTTACCCAATGTCCTACATCAGCTTCCATTTCTGGGCTTTACAGGTGATGAAATATGGCAAATAAAATTGTTAGGACTTAATTACTGGTAGATTCAAAGTGATGCCATATTGGCTCATCAAGGACTAAAAAACCAGACACCTTTGTTTCAGGGACAATACCAAAATGATCTGAAGGGCTTGTTGTTTGAGAATCAATCACCGGAGCTTCCTAAGATTTCTGGTGAATACATCCTCGAAAACGTGTTCCAAATTGATGTGGGACGCTCAAAATGGATCGATCTTAGTGTTATATTCAGCATGATCTTAATTTACCGCATCATCTTCTTCTTCATGATAAAGATCAGCGAGGATGTTACCCCTTGGATCAGAGGTTTCATTGCCAGGAGAAGGATGCAACAGAAGAATGGAACTCAAAATACGACCGTTGCGCCTGACGGTCTCTCCCAGTCTCCTTCGTTGAGGACTTACGTAGCAAATCGAGCAACTGGAACGGGTAAAAGGTAGACTTCGGGTATCTATGCAAGAGATCTCAAGCTTTGATGGCCAATTCATGCTGTCATCTTTGAGTCTTGAGATACAATCCTACAATGATATTAGTCGTTTTAACATCTCGATCTTATGCTATTATTATTATTATTATATAAACCATTTGTGTTAAATGTATAAATATCTATGCACCGGCCTGTGTTATGCCTTTGAAGTTAATAAGTTAAACTTTACACCTCTTGCTGTATTAGATTCCCACATACATCTTTTGTAAAAAATTTTTTCAATTATAACTTTAAGGTTTCTTTCTATTACCATTAAGAGCTTATGGCGAATTAATAAAATGACTTTAACACAATTTTCATGGCTTAAATTTCTAAATCTTTGCCATTGATATTTAACAAAATCTAAACATTAAACTTAAAAAATCATTGTCCTCTCTCCAAGTTCATAAAACTAGTATCAATTGAAAATAAAAAACCAAACATTAATTCAATCCCATGAACCCTACTTCATCTATAGTTTTAAAGAAAAATGAAAGCTGAAAATTAACGCTCCCTCACCTCTGTAAAAAGAATTAAAATAGAAATGTTTTAACTTTCATATTTATCCTCGATTTAAAAGAAAAAAAATAGAAGCTTTCATCAACTAAGTTTTGTTCCACACAGAATTGAAAATCTCAAGATAAAAAACATGATGGCCCGACAATCAATTATTATTCATGTTCCTATTCTAGCCAGAATTTTAAAAAAAATAAAATTATTAACGTAAGCATCAAATATACTACTAAATTCATTATACCCGAACTCCCCAATTCTGTAAATCCCAAAATTTCTTTTTATTCTCACCAAAATTAATCAAAAATACTAAAATACTAAAAACTCATAGGTCGGGTTGGCAAGCCAATCAATTAGTTTCTGAACTTGGTGAACAAAATTAGAGAAAAAAGAAAGAGGTAGAATGCAAAAACTGCAGACCCAAAAAAATTGCATGCCCATAAAAATTACATACCCAACATCAATACGAAGAACTAACATTGGATATCTGCTTGAAGAAGACAAGAGTTGAGAACTGTTCCAACAAAGACACCACAAAAGAAGAGAGGATCTGGGGATCTTTCATTCCTAGGGCTTAAGGACACGCTCCGCACATTTTGCCTTTATCTTTCTAGTAATGGCAGCAAAGCAAGTTCAATAGAAGCTTGATTTCCACGTGAAAGCTTAGTTTAGCCAAGCCTTGACTTGAAAGGCTTTCAATCTGCAGGAATAGCAGGTTACAGGGCAATCTCTCCTGTGAGCAAACAACGATTTGAGTAACGAAACATTTGAAGGAAAGACAAAAAAAAAAAAAAAGATAGGAGCTGGAAAAAAACATGCTGCCCCATTATGCTTAAGTGTTTGAAGATCAGTGGAGAAGATAGGATTTAAAAGATAGGATTTAAGAGTTTCAGCCTCTTCCACAGTCTGATTTGACTGATAGTTCAATATGTTGTTTCCTCCGTCCTCTTGTCTCTTTTCACCTTTCGGATCCCCCACATATCACATCGGCCACCATTCGATCACCACAATGGCTGCTGCTTCTGTCGTCGGTTTTCCTTCCGTTTGCTTTGTGTGTAGCCTCTGCTGTTGTTTATTGTGCCTGTTGCATGGTTGTGGGTAATGGGTGGTTTAGGTGGGAAATGGCAGAGAGCAGTATGATTTCGATTGGTTGTATTCTGGTAGTAAGATGGATTGTGGTTATTGTAGTAGATAGTGAGGATGGGTTTCGCTAGTGGTTGTAAAGGGCTCGACTGATAAAGTCAGAAAAGGTTCGGCCTGAATTTGTTTTCTTGCTGGGAATTGCTGATGGGTGGCTTTCATCTCACTTCCTCTTGTATTTCCCTTGATTCTGTGTTTGGCTCTGTTAAATTGCGTTTTTCACTTTCGACTATCTTCTGTGTAATTCTCACTGAATGTTCCTCCTTAATGTGCTTGATTGTGATGCTGTAAGATGGGTGATTTTCTAGCAGTGATTTCGAAATGGTGGTGGAATGGAAGTTTTGTGATGGTGAATATGGTTTGAGCTAAGGTGGGGTAAAGATCGTGATCCAGAACTGAGCCCTATTGTTGTGTGACTGTGCTGTTTAAATAAGGACCAAGTCCCCGTAGAGTCCCAGATCAATATGGGATTAGGTTGAATGGGATTTTCCCTTACATCTTTTTTCTAATTTCAAGTTTTATCCCAACATCTTCAAAAAATTTTATTCCAAATCCAAGTTCAAAAACCGAATCTCATCATTTCATTTATCTTTTTATTTTTTTTATTTTTTCAAAAAATAATAATTAAATAATTAAAAAAAATAAATAGGTTTGGCTTGGGTCCAAAACACAACTTGAATCTAAAATTCAAATGATAAACTGAAAACCAAATCAGATTAAGCTTAAAATTTAATTCGAAATAATTCGAAATTCGAAAACATTTTAAATGACTTCAAAAAAAATAGAGAATCTACGTGAGATTGAGGGAGAGCAAGACCGAAGAAAGAGAGTTATTTATTTATTAATATTATTATTGCAATAAGGGAAAAGAAAAAGACAAGAAATGAAACAGTGAATAAAGATGATCCACGTTAATAAAAGAAAAGATAAAAGGCAAAGCCCATGAACAGAAGTCAATACCCGAACCATACATCTTTCTTTTCTTGCTGTCTGGCTTGCAGAGTAAGAGTAGAGAAAGGAAGATGAGAGAGGTGAGGTCCAGCAGGAAAGACAACGTATGGTTCGTTCTTGACTCCTCTTGAGACTAGTAGTAGCCACTCTTCCAACTTAAATTGCAAAAACCCAAAATGCTTTGTAAAACCCCCCAAGAAAATAAAACCAAAAATAAAAGATTAGTTGGTCTATAATCTAGATGGCAATGAAGTTTGGCAGCAATAGCAGCAGCAAAGCAGTAAATAAGCGGCTTCAGCTCTTTGACGAGAGGGCATTGAAAGTCCCAACTAACCACAAATACTTCCCCCCACATTGAATACCATCAGCACACAAAGAGACTCTGAATTTCTCTCATCTCAATATTTAAAGATGATGTAGAGAGGTAAAAACAGTTTTGTTGTGTAGCAGTAGTAACACAACCGAACCAGATCATCAGGAACTAGGACAATTCAAAGCTGCCTTAATTTGCTGGACGGTGTTGCCGATAAGGTTATTAACAGTTGTCACTGACTCCAAGTTCAGCTTAGCAGATGGTAAGCTGCTCACTAGTATCTGAAAAGCAACCGTAATTAGTGAACCCCCAGATTTTCCCATGTTTCCATGTGAACTAGAGCTTGTTGACGCTCCATCTCCTTGGTCTGGATGGCCATCAGGTGATATCGTAAAACCTGATGGCAGTAACGGAATGTATGAAGGATCCTCACCACTCATTGCTACATTGATGGCAGGCAAATCAACCGGGCAATATACTACTAGCGACCCTGAATTGTCTATGCAGCTCTCTTGAAGTATTAACATATTGTTCTGACTAGTATTAAAGGCCTATTCCAGAAAACAATTCATTAAGTATGCCAAATGAAAATCATAAAACCATTGCAATAAAATCTCAGTGAACCAAAGAAGAAAACAAGCAAGAAGTTTTAAGTGGAGAACACAAAGTAAAGTGCTTCAATTTCAAGAGCCTTACTCGTAAAACAGATATGCAATTGCCAGGATGCGACCCATTTGCAATATGAGCAACCTCTTGCACTGCATTGCCGTTGGATAGAACATCCCACTAAAGGAAAGAAAAAACATAGAAAGCAATGTAACAGTGAGAAACAAGTAAGCTCACTTGTACATACAGTTATAAGGCAGTCGCAAATACTTGACATTGATCAATCTGATTATACCTGAGGTCGAGTTCTCTCATCCTTGAAGAAATTGAAGACATTTTGAGGAGTAACAGGAAGCCAGAAGGTAGTAGCTGCACTAAGAACTACACCATTGGGTTGCCCAGGATCAGAACTCTTATGAACAGTGACCCGGACACCAACTTCGTTCAAACCAAGAAGTGTTGTCCACCGATGACTATTGGATGTGCTGATGCTTGTGCAGAAATTGTTGACCATCCTTTGAGCAAGCTTCATCATGCTTCTCTTGCCATCAGGAGATGGAATTACTGAAACATTGGGAAATTTTATTCAGAGCTCAAGAGAACTAAAAGCTGAGGGCATGAATTACTGAAAATTACCTCCACCGAGATCCCGGGTTGAAGTGCCTGATACCATTAGGCAAGCAAATCTCTCACACATCCTCTGAAGAGTAGCAAGCCACCGTTCTGCTCCAAATGCCAAACCACCATGAATGAGATCCCTGTAGAGCCGATGTGTTGGAGTCTTGTCTTCAATCTCGACATGCTCCACCCAGGTAACCTATTGGCATTTAGCCATTTACTTGGTTGAGCAAAATTGATGAGTAAGTACGCAAAGATGAGTAGAATAAACATGACCAACCTTGGAGTAGCCATTAGGCATGTCCTGAATCAAACATCCAGAAGGAAGCCTATGAGACTGACATTGAGAAGCAAATTGGGGAAAATCATATGAAACATTGACTATAGCCCATAAGCCTTGCTCAATTTGCTGACAGTAGCGAAGGATATAAAATTCACGTGTGGATACCAGTGGGGAAAGCACCTGCAGCTCTTCATACATCTGCAATGAGACAAGAATTAGTTCAGGAAAAAAGTGAAAAGAAAACATGTATAAAGAAAAAAGGAAGCATCAGTAATTAGCGGCTTTACCAATTGCAAAGAACCACTATGACTGCTTAACATTCCAGATGATATTACTTCAATTGTCTTGGCCATCAACACAATGGTTGGAAATAACTCCACCCATTTGTTCTGCAAAAATATTTAAGTTTATCCATTAAAATTTTGATTGATTCCAAAAGGAAGGGTTTTATGGTTTAAATTATATTTAAAGGAGAACATACAGAATCCATGAACATGTCAACCAAAGCTAAACCATTCATGATGACAACACCAGAGTCTCTCGAAGCTTCAATCCTAAGGTTGGGAGATTTAAAGTGGGTATTAGCTCTAGGAAAAATCCTCTCATAGCTTTCAAGATTAAGAACATCTCTCCCATCATTGGTGGACTTGATCCATAAAGGTTCATTGGTCTGCAAAAGCCTGAGCAGTTCTTCCATTGCATTTGCAGCAACATCGGTCATTAGGGACTTATCCATGTCCGAAATAACAACTGGTTGGAAAGGTAAATTTGGCATTGAGGAGGAACTTCCAGGGAGAAGATCAAGATCAAGGGAAGGAGCAGCAACACCAATACCATGGCCGTCAAAACTCGCCATCCTTAAATCCAGTGAAGAAATATGAATAGGCTGTACAGGCGGAAGTTGGGATAGCGGCCTCCCTATGTACTTAGCTGCAATGCTAGATACTCTATCAAGCTGCAAAGAGCAAGAAAAAAAAATTAATTGTTTTGATTGTTTGATTAATGAAGAAAAACAAGAAAAGCAAGCATAGGAAAAACCTCCTCCTTTAATTGGGCATTCTCCATCCGCAACTTTTGGTCATCAAAATAGGAATCCTCGGAGACATGAGGGCCACCGCAAGAAGGGCAGATGACATTCTTGAGTGCTTCTCTAATGGCTATGTTCTCACATCGGATCTTATCGTTCTCTGCACGAAGAGAACAGTTATCGGCTCTTTCGTGTTGGGCCTGAGGATTTGGAACCAAGAGTGAATGAATGAAGGAGAGTCGACTGAAAGAACAAAAAAAAAAAAAGTAAAAGCACACAGATAGAGTACAGTACCGACCTTCATCTGGGTCCTTCTGTTTTGAAACCAAAACTTGATCTGCCTGGGTGCCAATCCCAACTCCCTACTCAACTGTAACCTTTGCTTCTCATCGGGGTGTGGGCACTCCTTGAACATTCTTCATGTTTTCACCAACAAAACAAGAAAGAAATAAGGGAACAAAAAAAAAAACGAACGAGAAAGAAAGAAAGAAACGTCGCCTGTCTTCTGACCCTTCGAGTCTCTGAATCTGGTGAGCAGTATGGCGATGGTAACGCTTTTTCCTCCGGGATGGGTCGGAGGCATCGTGGTCTCCACCGGACCCACTCCCTCCTCCTCCACCGCTTCCGTACTCCATATATGGACTTTGGACGTCCCTTCCAAAAACACCTATTGTAAATAGAATAAAAAAAGAGACCCTTTATTCAATTGGAGCAACCTTTCTGGATTCAACACCGCCCATCAGTCACTTTTCTTTTTTTTTTTTTGCTGGTACTCGAGATCAAAAAGCAACAGCAGAAAAAGAGAGTATTGTACTAGTTTTTGGAAGGAAGTAGGCCATATTGCGTTTTTTTTTTTATATATGTTTTCAGAGGGAGAAAAACGGCTGAAATTTGAAAGATAGTGGCATGGTTTTGGGTGAGCGAGTTTAGGCAGAAAATGGGTGGTTTTTTTTTTTTTTTTTTTGGGATATTTTGCGGTGTAAACTTTAAAGGCAGTATGAGACAGGACCAGGCAGGAAGGCAGCCACCCCACCCAACCCTCCGCTTTCCCCACTAATTCTATGAATACTCCTCCTCTCTGACTAACAAGTAGTAGCAGTAGTAAGAAGCAAAGCAGGCAGCTCCAGCCCCAGCCACCACTATTGCTAGTTGCAACAAATAACCGCTACCATCTCCTTTCTTTCCTTGCATTGAAATTGCATATTTTGCATAAATGAAAATGAATGATTTCAGTATCACTTTCTCTCTCTTCCGTCTTTGTCTTCTATCCAATGTCAAAATTTTGCGTGACCCGTGGGCTTTAAAACAGCGTTTGCATTAAGAATGCCGTATTGGATAATATTTTGATTTAAAAAAAAAAATGATACATCAATATAAGTTGTTTTGATATATTATTTTAAATTTTTTAATTTAATATAAATATATTTATAGATATACATAAATTTATATAAAATAATATTATTAATAATTTAAAAAATAAATAAATAATATTTTTAAAATATAAATAAATAAGTTTTAAAATATAAAAAATAATATTATTAATTTATAATTATATTTTTAAATATTTAATCTGATCATATTATAATTAAATGAATATTTTTATGTAAATATTAAAATAAAAATTAAAAAATTAAACTTTATTTCATGATTGCTATACTTTAGACAGAAAGCAAAATTATTTTTTTGAAAGAGATTAAAATATTTATAAATTTTGATTTGAAAAAATGAAATTATAAAAGATAACAAGTTATAGTAAAAAATAAAAAAAAATAATTTTCAATAATTATTTTCTTAATTAATTTTATTTTTATTAAATTAAAAATAAGTAATAATATAAAATAAATTAAAAATTATAAAATATACTTCATATTCACATGTAAATAAAAATAAATAAATCTATCAAAATTTATCAAAACAAATCAAAATTAACAAAAACAATCAATATTATTTATTGTCACATTTGATGTTAAAAATTATTTTTAAATTTATTTGGATATAACTAAATCAAATGGATCCAATTCTAAAATAAAATCAAACATCATGGATTTGCATTCGCCCCTTGGTACATCATACATGGACCTTTCTTTTTTTATTTTTTTAAATTTCCTGCTCACTCCCTGACCCTGTTTTTCTCCATTTTTTTTATAATTGTTTTTCAACCGACGCTCAATTTCGGTAGTTTTCTACAAAGTGGTACTAGTGCATCAGACATTATACACTCACTCTGTACACTGTCCAGGTGGGCACAACGGCAAACACCTTTTTATTTACTAATTTCGACAAAACAACCATAGATGCATTGCTTGGCATACCACCTTCTTTGATAGAATGACCTTCTCAAATACTGTATTAACTACCATTAATTTAGCAACCAACCCCCATTCCCCATTGCCTTTTCAAATTTTAAACTCCAATTCTCAAAAACAACACTACTTCTTCCCTCTCAAATTAGTCTTTTATTGATTTTAATAGAGTTTAACAAAAAAAAATTTTGATTTTGATGTATACTATATGAAATTTTTAATTTTTAATATATTTGTTGTTCTATACTTTTTAATGCCAAAATGGAAAAAAATTATAAAAAATAATTTTTTAATATAGTCAACAGTAGCGTGATATTTTATTTGTTAAATTTTTAATTTTAATAATGAAAATTTAATATCTTAATAGTCAAATATATAAAAAAATAATAAAATTAGTAGTTTAAAAATAGAAATACTACTACCTACCTACGGAAGCGTTCATTCATCTTCTAATTAAAGTCTAGAAATTGAATAATTAGAAGAAGCCCATAATGACAAAACTAACCTTTTTGCCATTGCTTCAGCTACTCCTACGAGACACAGGTAGTCCAAAGTCCTTGTCTTGATAAGTTTGTTTTTGAGTTGAGAGTAGGATCCAAATCCCAAGCTGAGTCTTACATTCTTGGCTGTTTATGGACACTACGTGGGAGTATGCCAAAAAGTCAAACTTGATGCCTTTTTGGAGAGGCGCAATTTTCTCATCAGCTAACCCACAATCTTTTTCAACGTGGACACCAAAGATTCTTTCCTCTTTCCCTCTTTTATTCCTTAACGAGGGAAAATCATACTTTTTATTATAATATTTCGTTTAGTATTTTATAGTTGTAAGGAAAAATATTTAGAGTACCCTTAAATTTTGAATTTAATATTGTTTTTATTTTTATACTTTCAAATTCATTTGTTGATTCTAAAACTTTCAACTTTGTAATGAAAATTTTTTTTCTTCAATAATCTTGTTAAATCTAATTTTAAATATTAGTTAGTGCCACGAGTGGACACACATGAATGTTACTTTATATATTATTAATTTATTTAAATTTTCATATTCAATTTTAACTTTAAATTTTATATTAATATTTAAAAATTAAAAAAAACTTATTAAAATGGAAATGTTAAATTTTATTTATTTTACACTATATTATTTGATAAAATATATTAAAAACTTATATTATATTTATTTCTTTAAAAAATTATTAAAAATAGAAAATTTTGAAATTTATTTATTTTAAATTACAAAACTAGACAACACATAAAAATATATTATTTTTAAAAATTAAAAATAAGAAAAACTTCTTAAAATAGAATATTTTAAAATTTATTTATTTTAAACAATAAAATTTGGTAAAATGAATTAAAACTATATTATATTTTTAAAAAAACCTTACTAAAAAATTGAAAAGTTTTATTTTAAATTCTAATATTTGATAAAAAAAGCGTATTAAAAATATATTATATATTTAAAAATATAAATTATTAAATAATAAAATTTTGAAATTTATTTATTTTAAATATAATATTTGATAAAACATATTAAAAATATATATTATATTTGAAAAATAAAAAAACAAAAACTTCTTAAAAAAGAAATTTTAAAAACTTATTTATTTAAATTATAATATTTGTAAATATGTTAAAAATCTATATTAAGATTAAAAAATAAAAAAACATAAATTTATTTTAAAATAAAAAATTTTGAAATTTATTTATTTTAAATTATAATATTAATAAAAATATATTAAATTATTTTTACAAAACATCCATATTTTTTTTCTTTTTCTTTTCTGTCTTTTCTTTTCTTTTCTCTTAACTGTCACATCAAAACACTTAAACGATAAAATTGAATGAATAAATTGACAAAAATATCAACTCGTTGTGATATTTGACAACCAAAGACAAATAAATTATTTTTTGATGTTTAGGACCAAAACAATATGTGCTCTAAAATTTGAAGACCATAAATGTTACTTTTTTTTTTTTTACATGTTAGAGCTCAAATCCATGCTTGTTTTTCAAAGTATCAAAATTTTAATCATTGCTATCCTCTAATTATTATATGTTACATCTATACTCATCCACTATATCGATTAAATAATAAATAATTTTATATTTAAAAAAATTGTGTAAAAAATTTAACGATATTGGTAAACATGAATTAGAAAAATGTGAAAATAACTTATTAGTATAGTTACTTAATAAAAATAGCAACAAAAGTTTTAAAATATGTAAGTCAAAATCCTATTTTGAAGAAAAGTAAAAATAATAACATATCTTTATTAATACATAATTTTTTACTTAACTTTATTATTTTTTGTAATTACTCATGATTAAATTAATATCACTTACCTCATAAAACCGTACTTAATAACAAAAATTTTATAATAATATAAAACCATAGATATTTAAAAGTGTGATTAGATGTTGGATCAAATCATTTCAGGATATCAATTTAGATTGGGTGGCATATTATTTCAAGTCAAAACATTACGGGTTTTGGAGTAATTGTAACCATTGAATTATTAAAAGCTTTTTCACGTTATTGAAGGCGTTTGGATTTCCAAAAACTGCCAAAACTTGATGCCAAACAATATGTATTTGTAAGGCCTAGATTAACGTTTGAGTTTTAAAGTTGATTTTTGTGATTAACAGCTACTTTATTATCATTATAATCTCTAAACTTGTATTATTTTATACATTTTTTTATATTTTATTTAAATTTGATAATTTAAACATGATATGATAATATGACATGAATACGATACGAATAAAAAAAATGATATAATTTAAAATTTTAATAATAATTATATATGAATTTAATAAAATCAATAAAATACATTTTATGTTTTCGTATCGATACAAATTATGACACATAATCTTTATATAAAATATAACATAAATATATAAATTTTAGTATTTTATATTACACGAACATACAAATCACCAAATCTAATTTCAATTCACCATAATACATTTTCACACAATAATAACAAAACTTCAAAATTTTAAATTATATTTTTTTATTATTTTTTAAACACAGATTTTTCAACTGCAACAACAAGATCTAATAAAAATAAGTTTGGAACCAGGCTTTTATATATCTTTGTGCAAAAACATCTAGACTTGTGCTTTTGAAGATCGCAAAACCTACTTTTTTTTTTATTATTTAAGTTCAAACACGCACCAAAAAAAAGGAAAAAAAAAAAAAAACAACCTCTCATATTTTCTTAAAGGATGAGATTACCGTTAGATTGAATTTTGTTTTTTAGATTTAAAAAATATGCAACATATAGCTCTACATATGTTTAAGTTAGCATATATCCCATGTGGCTTATCACATTAACTATAGAACAATTGTCAAATTAGGCACTATTATATTTATTAAAGGCTTTTCTTTATTTAGAAGTTTGTTTATATTTATCATTACTTATTCGTAAAATTCAATGAATAAATATGCTTTCGAAAAGAATTATAAGATGTTGTAATTAAGAGACTTTTTAAAGATTTAAGTTGTTTACTCTCGTAAGTTTTGCCAACATGCATTTACTATTAAGTTACAAAAGTAAATGTTATGTTTTGCTGCCAATGGAAGTCCTATTAACTTTCACCAAGCACTTGTCTTTACAGCTCAATTCAAA